CTTCAATGACTTGATTATGGTTAAAATAAAATCGTTTCCCATTGTTTTTTCGAGTTGTAGCAACTAAGAAACAGTCTCATATGTTTTAAATTAATCAGTTTGCAAACATTTTTTCTCTTCTTTTAAAACTTCAAATTATGCAAATTTGATAAATTGGAATGAATAGGGGTATTTTCGTAAATTTCGTTAGTTGAGGATCATGTGGGGAAGATCGAAAACAAAGTAAAACAAGTGTCGTCTTGCATTCTCATCCATTATCAGTTAACAATTTGCATCCAAATTGAGAACAAGTTTTTGTTAATCCTTAAAAATGGCGATGCCTCGTGCGAAGACGGAGCTTCGGACTCTGGGGAACACAGGGCTTAAGGTTAGTGCCGTTGGTTTTGGTGCCTCTCCGCTCGGAAGCGTCTTTGGTCCAGTCGGCGAAGATGACGCCGTCGCCACCGTCCGCGAGGCTTTCCGACTTGGCATCAACTTCTTCGACACTTCCCCGTAATCACTTCTTATATTGCTTCATCTCTTCTACAGATTATCTCTGAGAATTTGTAATTTGATCTTTCTAAAGCTAAATTGAGGCCAATTAGGAGTTTATGGGAATTCCATGGATATTCGTTTTTGTGAAGGTATTATGGAGGAACACTTTCAGAGAAGATGCTTGGTAAGGGACTTAAGGCTCTACAAGTCCCTAGAAGTGGCTACATTGTAGCGACTAAGTGCGGGCGATATAAAGAAGGTTTTGATTTCAGTGCTGAGAGAGTAACGAAGAGTATTGACGAAAGCTTGGAGAGGCTTCAGCTAGATTATGTTGATATACTTCATTGTCATGACATTGAGTTTGGCTCTCTTGATCAGGTTCTCTCTTGGTTTATCGCTTTCACTGTCTGTATCTCAAACCTTCACTAATTGTTCGTTCGTTCTCTCGTGGCTGCCAGATTGTGAGTGAAACAATTCCTGCCCTTCGGAAACTGAAACAGGAAGGGAAGATTCGGTTTATTGGTATTACTGGTCTGCCTTTACATATTTTCACTTATGTTCTTGATCGAGTCGCTCCTGGGACGATCGACGTGATATTATCATACTGTCATTACGGTGTTAATGATTCAACGTTGCTGGAGTTACTTCCTTACTTGAAGAGCAAAGGTGTGGGTGTGATAAGTGCTTCTCCATTGTCAATGGGTCTTCTTACGGAACAAGGTCCTCCTGAATGGCACCCTGCTTCCCCTGAGCTCAAGGTTTGATATTTTGATAAGCATGCGGTTCTTGTGAACATTTTTTAATAACACTCTTATTGAAACATCTGTTTAACTATAAGAGACCAGTTAGAGCACAGTGGCATGCAGAATTCTCTAGTGCGTTAACTTGGTAGTTGGTCTTGATGAGTACTTAGTAGAGGATTGAACAGGTTCATGAGGAGGCTGGTATTAGTTTGATTTGAGGTTTAGGAAGATACTTATTCTGTTCTTAACAAATTGTTCCCACATACGAAACTCAAAAGCCGTTGTTGCTTTTACTGTCTTGTGTAGTCTGCGTGCAAAGCTGCAGTTGCTCATTGTAAATCAAAGGGTAAGAAGATCACAAATTTAGCACTGCAATACAGTTTAGCAAACAAAGAGATTTCATCGGTGTTGGTTGGGATGAGCTCTATTTCACAGGTATTCAAGTTTAAGGCTTTCCTCTAAAGTCTCAATTTTTTCCCCATACTTACGTGGGAAATTGGAGTTAAAATATGTTTTCTCTTGAATTAGGTGGAAGAGAATGTTGCAGCAGTTACAGAACTTGAAGGTTTGGGGATTGATCAAGAAACTCTGTCTGAGGTTGAAGCTATTCTCAAGCCTGTAAAGAATCTGACATGGCCAAGTGGTACCAATCAGACCTAAAAAGCTCTTTGTGTTTCTGGAACTCTGTTCGTTTTATATGATAAATAAAGTTTCTTAGTCATCAAAGACGTCTATGATCGAATTCATTATTAGATAAATGTACTCTCGTGATTTGGTGGTAAATACTATCCATTTGGTCTCTTTAAAATATGCTGCAAAAATGATAAAAAAATGATGGAGCAGGGAATATTATTAGTAAAGTAATTGAACAACGTGCAAAGATCCAGAAAACAAGGGTCGTCTCTCGCATTTTTATACATATGCATTTGCAAGTCAACAATGGCAATTCCTCAGTCGAATATGGAGCTTCGGACTCTGGGGAACACAGGGCTCAAGGTTAGTGCCGTTGGTTTTGGTGCCGCTCCGCTCGGAAGTGTCTACGGTCCAGTTGCCGAAGATGATGCAGTCGCCGCCGTGTGCGAGGCTTTCCGACTCGGCATCAACTTCTTTGACACCTCCCCGTAATCACTTCATCTATCTTCTCTGGAGATTACCTCAATGGCTTTTTCAAAGTGGTTTAGGAGTATTTAGTGGAATTTTCAACTGAGTGATTCTCCATGGATATGTAGTTTTGAGTGTTTGGTTTTTGTGAAGGTATTATGGGGGAACACTTTCCGAGAAGGTGCTTGGTAAGGCACTGAAGGCTCTACAAGTCCCTAGAAGTGACTACATTGTGGCGACCAAATGTGGACGATATGTAGAAGGTTTTGATTTCAGTGCTGAGAGAGTAACAAAGAGCATTGACGAGAGCTTGGATCATCTTCAGCTAGATTATGTTGACATACTTCATTGTCATGACATTGAGTTCGCGTCTCTTGATCAGGTTTACAATTTTCTCTCTTGGAATGTTTTCTTCACTGTCATTTTCTAATTGTTGTTTCATGGCTGCCAGATCGTGAGTGAAACAATTCCTGCCCTCCAGAAACTGAAACAGGAGGGGAAGATCCGGTTTATTGGTATCACGGGTCTCCCATTTAACATTTTCACTTATGTTCTTGATCGAGTGGCTCCAGGGACAATCGATGTGATGTTATCATACTGTCATTACAGTGTCAATGATTCAACTTTACTCGATTTGCTACCTTACTTGAAGAGCAAAGGTGTGGGTGTGATAAGTGCTTCTCCGTTATCAATGAGTCTCCTTACTGAACAAGGTCCTCCTGAATGGCACCCTGCTCCCCCTGAGCTCAAGGTTTGACATTTCGATAAGAGTTCGATTCTCATTAACATATTTTATAACACTTGTATTGATACATACCGTATAAGAGCTTACTGTTAGAAGCATTCTCTCGAGCATAGACGGGTTTTTTTCCATAGACTAAATGCTATACTTATTAGACTGGCAATTCCTCAGTTTCTTAACCCGAACTAACACTATGATAAGTCTTCATAAAGAATATTAGAGAGTGTTTCAGAGATTGCCTAATTCCACATTACCTTTACTAACCGTGCGTTAACAATTTAACATGTTAGTTGGTCTTTGATGAGTATTAAGTAGAGGATTGAACAGAATCATGAGGAGTCTGGTCTTTGGTTGATTTGAGGTTTGGGAGTAGTAGGGGAGGCACTTGAGCTCATCCCTAGGGATACTTCTTGGTTTTTTTTTCGGTTTGTTCATTTTTGGTCTCTGTGAGAAATAAAGGAAGATACTGCTTCTTCTGTTCTTAACGAATTGGACTCGCATGCGGAACTCAAAACCCGTTGTTGCTTTTACTGTCTTGTGTAGTCCGCGTGCAAAGCCGCAGTCGCCCATTGTAAATCAAAGGGTAAGAAGATGACAAAGTTAGCACTACAATACAGTTTAGCAAACAAGGAGATATCATCAGTGTTTGTTGGGATGGGCTCAGTCTCACAGGTATCAAGTTTAGGATTTTTCCCTCTCAAGTCCCAATTCTTTCCATGATTATGTGGAAAATTGGAGTTAAAACATGAAAGCAATACGTGTTTTTCTAAATCAGGTAGAAGAAAATGTCGAAGCATTTACAGAGCTTGAACGTTTGGGGATTGATCAAGAAACTCTGTCTGAAGTTGAAGCTATTCTAAAGCCTGTAAAGAATTTGACATGGCCAAGTGGTATCAATCAGAACTAAAAAGCTCTTTGTGTTTCTTGAAACTCTTTGTTCTTGCTTCTGCGTTTGCTGTGTTAGTAACAGAGTAAGTTCAATTTATACGATTGATAAAATTTAATTTGGTATCAATCAAAATTAATCAGAACATCAGCAATCACATTCATACTTATATATATAACAGCACATAATGAGATTTTGGAAGAAATTACATATGTTCATTTACAAACACAAGAAGAAGAAAGTATGAAAAAGAGCGTAAAAAATGGAAAATCTCCATTCACCAGCAGCTACGTTCAATAGCTTCTTGGAACCTCTTGTTGTATGTAGCGGGATCGCCAAATAGCCAACGAGTAAACCTCGAACGATCAGAACTTTCCGATGAGTTTCTCGCCGGAAGAAGACACTTAACTACCGGCGGTGACGGTTCCGGTTGTGGCTGCAGATTGTTGTTTGCTGTTATCTGGTGAAAAAGAGGATAAGAGAGCATGAACATCGCAGCTGATGGTGCCATTGATGGATCTCAATCTGTAATTCCAAAGAAACTATGAGGTTTTGAGTGCAAATCAGAGAGAGATTGGGAGATTAATATATGAGGAGAGGATAAAGAATGGAGGGAGTAGGTGTGTGTGACTGTGTTTCTTTGGGACCAAGGCTGAAATATAAAAATTTGGGTTGTTTATATCTATCCAGATATGACAAATCATGTAATGACACGTGTCATATCGTGCTAACTTGTGCTGATGCTATCATTAGATAAAGAACTTGCGAGTTTGTGACAAATGACAGTAATACCGTGTAGCGTGTAGTGGACCATAACAAAAAAAGCTACAATGTACCACTACTTACTTATAAAAATTATCAAAAGTAACAAAGTTTTTTTAAAATTCATCTATGTAACTGTAAACCAAATCAAACTTAGACCTAATCCAAGGACTAAAAACTTTTTAACCGAGGATACAACGAGATGACCAAAAAAAAAACGTTCAAACGAGGTTCTGTGAAAAAACTTAAGTTTTCAAGGGTTCTTTAAAGAAATATCCGATAAAACTGAAACGATACAAAGAAAATTATCATGGTCTACGCAATAAATCGAAAACTAGCTCAAATTTTGTTACTATGAGAGAAAAGCTATAAATGGTGACCATTAGAAATGTAAAGAATGGAGACGAACATAACATTCTTACTCATTCCTAATATTTTTTTACCATTTTTATGTAATAAATATTCTATGTTATTCTTTTTCATTCTTAATAATATTAGGGAATAAAGAACAAAAGAATTCCCCATCTAATTTGACAAGGAACAAAAACAATGCATTTTTATGTAGAAACTTTTTTTTTATTACTTAAAATATTTTTTTTTTTTTACCATTTACAATAACAATTTGTTTCATTCTCTCTCTACAATAATTTCTTTTAATTTCTTCCATAAAACTTTTTCATTCATTTTTTTCTTTATTTCTATAAAGTGACTTTGGTTAAAAGTGTGTGAAGAATCTTGAGGAAACTTTGGAAGGAAGATAAGAATATATTACAAGAAAAAAAAAATTATATATATATATGCAAGAAACTCCAAATTAAACCAAAGTCACTTTGCGTCACCATCGATGCATCTTCCTCTCTTCTCTAGAATCATCCATCCAAAGAATTAAATTCCTTTGCTTTTTTACAGTGCCACCATCGATGCTTCTTCCTCTCTCCTAAAAGTCTTCCTTTTCATTTTCAGTATACTTTTCAAGTTTTTTCTCAAAACCTCCATCACAAAATCCTTACCCAAAAAATACGTTATTATTTTATATTATTCGTATAAGAATTGTCTTCAAGGTTGTGTTGTTCTTTGGCAAATATAAATACACGTCGACAAAGCCCATATTTCCGCTCTAAAAGATTGCAATCCGTGTGTGTATGTGATCTCTCTCTCTCTCTACTATTATTTCATCTTGCTTCCAAAATTTACAAGGTTCTTGCTATTCAAGAAAACTACAATTTATTTGTCTTTTTTAAGGCCAAAATATGAGTGATCCAAAGTATGCATATCCTTATCCTGCACCGGGAACTTACCCGCAAGGACCGCCACCGCCGGTAGGAGTACCGCCGCAGTATTATCCTCCGCCGCCTCCACCACCAACTGAGAAATCTGGTTTTCTTAAGGGACTGTAAGTGCTCTGTTTTACGTTTCATTAGATTATTTTGTTTCTACAATTTAAGCATACCAAAGGGATTTTTCTTTAAATTTGTGGGGGGAAAAAATGAGAGAAGTTTTGCATTTTTAACATTTTTTTTTTTTTTGTGATAAAAGAAACTTGAGTGGAATCACGTTTTGAAAACGTGAAAAAATGGTATATCATTCAATCACCTGTGAGAATTTTCTTCAATAAGGTTTTATTGGTCACAATCTTCAATAAGGTCTTAAAATCATTGTGATGTTTTTGTTTGTGTGTATTTTGGTTTGCAGGCTTGCGGCTCTGTGTTGTTGCTGCTTGATTGATGAATGTTGCTGTGATCCGACCATTATATGCATTGATTAAGTTTTAAGAGATTAAAAAAATCACTCTTTGTATGATAAGTTAATATGGAGTTTATGTAACAATTGTTCTCATTAGTAAATTTAACTTTCTTGTCAATTGAAACTTGGAATTGTCTTTAAATTTTGTATGAAAAATTTCTGTAGCTAGGTACATAATTCGTTCTACATATTGTAGCATAAAACCTCACTAGAATAGTTCCTTTGAAACTCATGAATTCTTTCGTTATTGACAAAGAAAAAGATGAGTTTGTGTTTGTTTGAGACGTTGAAATTTCAACTAGAAACTACTAATCCAGACAAAACAAATGTGGAAAGGTACTCACTCGACCACATGCTAGTAGGTGGATAATGAATATGCATTTTATCCAAATAGGGAATAATGGAGAATGATAAAAAAACAAATTGGTAAGAACTTAGCACAACAATACAGTTCAGCAAACAAGGACTTCCCTCTCAAGTCCCAATTCTTTCCATCCAGAAGAATACACCAAAATATTACCAATCGTTTCAGGACACGTGGGACATCATGCTAACTTGTGCCGAAACCGTGGCTAACTTGTGCCAATCCTATCATAAGGAAAGGAACTTGTGACAATACAGTGTAGTGTGAACTTGGGACCAAAACATAAACCTACAATGTCCCACTACATGCTTCTAAAATTATCAACAAAATAATAAAATATTTTATTTGTTTCATCAATGTAATTGTAAACCAATCTGCTATGAACTAAATCAAACTTAAACTGTTGGTCAGAGGATTACACATTGGTCAATTTGATAAATCTTGGGATCAAACTATAATTGTCAATGAATTTTATAACAACTATCATCAATCGAATGTTTACAATATTGAGCATGTCGTAAAACATCTTTTTTATAACCGATGATTATATATCAAAGACCTAACTAATCTTTGAGGTCTGTTAAAAATCATGTATGATTGCCATTTGAAATATTTCTACTTTTGAAACTATGATTAAAATCACGACGGAAGAATTCGAATCTTGGTTTCCCTAAGAGTAAAAACTTTCAATACCACGAACACCGTAACACTATGAATTGGTTAAATTATGTCATAAAATTATTCGATCTTATATATGGTTATGTTTTTTTTTGTTTTTCTCTAAGTACAAGTAATGAAGTGAAATCACGAAATATATCAGCTTGATACCTTCGTTTTATGAGATTTTTACGATAACACAACTTTATTTATAAGAGAACAATGACCAGGAAATTATCTATACATATTACATATGGAATTAAAAAAACTAAGTTTCTAAAGAGAAAGAAAACTCTCATAAAAAACACATACTGTACATGTTAGATCAACTCAACCAACATTTTAATAGAATTATCGACATAAAAAAAAAAGGAAACTCCAAATTAAACCAAATAGCAAATCACTTTTGCTTATTCTTCCTCCCTCTCACAAGAGAATCTTCCAACCAAAATTCGTTTACTTTTCACTATGCCACCGTTTTGGCTCCTCTCTTCTTCGGCACTATTCAAGTCTTTGTTCATTTTCAGTGTACTATTCAAGATTACCCTCAAAACCTCCTCCATCACAAATCCTTACCCCAAAAAGTAGGTTATCTTCAAGCTTGTGCTGTTCGTTGGCAATATAAATACACGTCAATAAAAGCCTACATTTGCACTCTAAAGATTGCAATCCGTGTATGTTATCTCTCTACTATAAGTTTTTGCTATTCATAAACTAAAATTTATTAGTTTTGAGCATTTTCTACGGCCAAGATATGAATCGGAATAATGCTTATTCTGCACGCGGAAATCACCCGCCAAGAATGCAGCCTCCGCATGTAGGAGGAAAACAGCAGAATTATACTGCACAGGGAAATTACCCGCAAGGAATGCGGCGGCCTCCGCCGGTAGGAGCACCACCGCAGAATTATCCTATGTCTGCACCAGTAGACCCAGAGGTGGCTGCGATTTCTTGTATTGCAGTGTAAGTGTTCTGTTTTACGTTTCATTAGATTATCTGTGAGAATTTTTCTGCTTTAATTTGGTGGTAAAAAAATATGTCATTCATTATCTCTTAGAATCCTCGATAAGATTCTGAGACAATTTTTGTCTTAAAATCACCGTGATGTATGTGTTTGTTTTTGTGTGTTTTGGTTTGCAGGCTTACGGCTTTGTGTTGTTGCTGCTTGGCGGATAACTGTTGCTGATTGCTGTATGGAAGTTGCTGTGATCTGGCCACTATAGGCATTGATTACAAAATCACTCTTTGCATGTTTAATTTATTATGGCGTTTATGAAATAATTGTTGTAATATAATGTGACTACTTTCTTGTTTGTGTTTGTTGGGAATGTTCTATAATCTATAATGTTAAACAAAAAAAATCTATACTTCCTTTCAACTCGTAAGTAGAACCAGAGAATTTATTCTGATTTCTGATTCTTTATAGACAAAAAGTTATGGAACGGTACATGACCACTTGGTCGTAGGTTCAATGAATATGCATTTTATCCAAACAAGAAAAATGATAAAAAGAAACATGTGTCTACTACTAAACTAAACCAAACAAAATGAATCATGATACACAAGAAAATCTAAAAATCCATTCTTAACAAGCAATTTAGTATGATTTTCCTTCTAATTCAATCATCCTTAAATGGAAAATATTCCAAGTCTCGTTGCACAAAAATATAAAGTGACCACAATTTTATAGAGACCGATCTTGTAACATGACATTGAAAGGAGTGAAAGGGTCTGTCTGCTTCTTCACTCCATTATAACACTCTCACTTAACACTCAATCCAATGAAACCACAATGTGTACCGTTTTTCCTATATAAATTCTTCATTTTTCCAACACGTAATTTTTAATATCACTTATCGCAGTCAGAGAGATTGGTTTTTGGATAATAGTTAGTATCCGTATCCGTTTTGGTGTTGATCTCCTGTTCTTCTGGATCTTCTTCCCYTACTGGGAGATGCTGCGTATGAACTGCTCGTGGAATACTTGGAAGAAGATGTCGGCAAGTCCAGATGTTTCGACACGCCMYTGGTATCGGTACCACGATTGCACACTGATTCTGCTTCCAAAGGCAACTCGTCTAGGGTCTGTTTAACCCACAAAATCATATGGTTTACGTCAAACAACAGACAGAAATTTCTAAACACTCAAGTGAAAAAAYGAATGTTTGCTCAAAGGAATGAAGCTATTATGACAATTGTATGTACAGAGTTATGTTTGGCTGAGAATATACCCTGTAAGCTTGCTGAAGAATGTGGAGAGTCTCCTGCGTGCGTTTCCTCTTAACTGCTATCTCATCTGGTTCTTGCAGCATTTCTTCAAACAAGTTCTCCCTGCAACAGATGATACAACCARTCAGTAATAAGAGACTACCCAAACACAGATGTGAAGCATAATAAAAAACACAGGCATCACCTGTAAAGCTTCTTAATAAAGACATTGTGCAGCTCACGTTTCGTGTGGTTTACCTGAGTATTATATAGAAATGGAATCAGTATCTCCAGAGTTCAGTTACGTTAGATAGCAAACAGGGTACAAGTTGGACAAACTGCTTTTCATTTGCAACTCTTCAAAGAGAGAATTCTTAAAAATCCACAAATATAAAGGTGCTGATATGTTGAATGTGTTTGAAATACTGCAAGAAACTAGGGGGACGGGTGAGGTACTTGCCAGGAAATGCATGATTGCTTTTGGTACCGAGTCCTCAATATTCTTCCTTACAATGTCGTAGTATGATTTTAGTAACA